ATTTGACCGCGTCTACCATTTACTGCTGATATATAAGCTGAACTCCTTAGGAATACGTGAGCCGCTATTAGGATGGCTTAAATCATTCCTTAACAACAGGTCCCAAATAGTTAAACTTGGTTCTGAGACTTCCGAACCTAACCCGATTACTTCTGGTGTAGTACAAGGCAGTGCCATTGGGCCCCTCCTATTTACACTCCATATCAACGACAAATGCGCTTGCTCCTCATATGGGTAACCATTCATCTTTGCAGATGACCTGAAAGTAACTTGCGAATTGCAGTGTGATCACCTAGGGTACTTCCAGAATGTTGTACAGAATGAATTAGATAAAGTGACTGTTTGGTCATCTGTATGGAATCTACAATTTAATCTGAACAAATGTGCTTGGATCTGCTTCGGCACACCCTCAGTCGACAAGAAATTAACGCTTTAATCTGCTAACCCAACCAGACTCCGAAGTTTCGTTGACTTGGGCCTGAGATACTCTAGTGACCTAACATTTTCTGAGCAAGTGGCATTACAGACTCTAAAGTCGAGGATGCTCTTAGGATGCATACTCAGGAACTTTCACGACAATGAAGCCAAGCTCATTCTTTACAAAACATGTGTAAGACCACTGTGAGAATACTGTCCATTTATTATTAGCATATGTGACAAGCTGAAGTTGGAAAGCATCCAACGATATTTCACGTCCAAACTACTGCGGTAAGATTGCTAGAAAGACTATATCTCACTGTGTGTGATTCTAAATCTCACCCACTTTGGACAAGACGACATATTATAAACCTAATACTTTTCTTAAAGGTACTACACAAAATATCATTTTCAGACAATAAGGGCATACAATTCTCACCAGAAGGCTCCTACGATCTGCGTAACCCAGCTTGCACAGTGACAGTAAAGGCCTTTAAATCAACACTCCGCGAAAATTTCTTCACAGTCGTGTATTCTAAAATGTGGAACAGCCTGTCCTAGAAGTCAAAACCTAAGTCTAAGACGCTCTGCGTACAGATTGTTTCTTTCTGATGACTCCATTAACAAACTATTTATTTCTAGAACAAACGCTGTGCAATTCCTTTACGAAAAGAAGATAAACATAAGATTATTACTCTACATGTCAATCCTGTATGAAAAGTACTTTGGGGGTGAATATGATGAAAACCTTTATAATCGCTTGCGCAGATACATTGGGAGAACAGAAAGAAGGGCATGCCTACAATTTTCTGTACATAAACCAAAAAGCCTATGTCTATTGGGAACAAATGCTTTAAACAGTGTCATCGCCGGGCATCTCCTTGACACGGATCATGAGGTGAACATCGCAAAATCGTAGCAGTTATCAGTCTTTCTTTGCCCTGGTAACTGGATGTTTTCACCCTCTCTTTCACCTGATTACGTAATGCCGAAAGTTTCCACTGTGTATGATAATTATTGTTCGGAATAAATTTTAATATTTTTATATACATATTATCACTGTACGCACATATTGATTGATTGATTTTAATTTTAAATTGAACTCGGTACAAGTGTGTCAAAATTGTTTATGTAAACATACTTAATAATGACTTTAGCGAAAGAATTAACTGATGGTTACATTTATTCTGCGAAAACTTTTGTTCTCGCTTTGTTCAAAAACACATTTACAGAAGATATGCAAGAAGGATCTATGCAACAATTAGAACGATGACGGGCTTTTCGTAATATCTAACGTTAACCGTGTTGGAAAAAACTACAGAATTCATGGTATTTTCGATGAAAATATAGTTTCGCTAGAATAAGGTGTTACTTCCTGCGCAACCAGTCTATAAGGGATCAAGGAGTACGAATGAAAGGAGTAAGTATCGACTTCATAAAGGGCTGTGACAGATAAGATCTATCTGAATATATTGGTGCTGAAGTGAAAATTCCTAGGAAATATGTAAATGATAGTTCAGTAAGAAGTATGATCCAGAAATCCAAAAAGTGGGGCATACTGGCTTATAAAATGTCATAGGAATCTAGGTAGGGCCCACAAAATTGTACACTGAGAAGAGGCTGGCCAAATTGGTAGATGTTACAGACAGAACCACTATTTAGATCTAAATAATCGTTATTGCTATTGTGCGTCGGTGGCATAGCGGTCAGGATGCTCGCCGACCATGCACATGGTCCGGAGTTCGAACGCCTGCCGACGCACTCCTTTACCTCGCTAAGCCAGAAATGCAGCTGGTGAAGAGGAAAGGTTGGGCATGAGACTAGCAAACCCATCCTGTAAAATAAACACTGCTACAGAAACTTCAAGCCACTAGCTTGAAGCACTATGTTCCATTGGGGAACGTGAAGGAGAAAAAATCGCTATTGTTCAGTAATATGAGGATCTAGACTCATGGCCGGATTTGAAGCTGTCGAATTATCAAACTTTATTTAATAAATTCTGTAAGGCTTTCCCATTGTGCTTTTGATGTACAGACACCGAACGTTCTGCCAGTTCTTCTTCAGAAGCGATACCAGGAAGTTGATCGACAAGTTGATGTTTTGTGCCAACTCAGCCGCAGTCATATTCACGTGGCCAACAGCAACATTTAGGCAGATAACCTTTTTCATCTGAAACTTCACTGTGGACTTCACTTCGTCAATCTTTTGGGCCAACGGCTCATTGTGCGAGACAACAATAGGGAACCTGCCGTATTTGCTCAAGATCGGACCTATGACCCTGGTGAATTGACGAATTATAGACTCGCTCCCAAGGAAAGCGTGGTAGCTCTTAGCTGCAAACATTAGTGGAAATACTAAGCTTACCTAGCTTTTTCAAAGGCTTCTTCTCTTTGCCGAACTTTTTCAAGTCCTCAGCGTCCATGCAAGGGATATTTGCATTCTTAGCCTCATCACAGTGCTCCTGATCTCCAAGCACACACACAGTCATCTTAGGACGCGGGATGTGCTTCAATCTATAAACACATACAACTTACAATGTACGGCCAGTGGCCTCCCCACAAAATATTAGAACCCTGGGTTGGGGTTCGCAAACTCACCGTACAGTCCCAGCGAACCTCTTATCCTTTTGCGGGTCATAATTCTTCAGAGCGATCTGCAATTCCACTGTCTCGGTGAACTTCCGCTTTTTGGTCTTATTGCTATACTCCAAAAGGTCAGCACACGACCTAAGCAGAAGTTCCTTTGGTACCTTACTGAACGAAAAGAACAACACTTAGTCTTTTGCAATGAAAAAGTTAATGTCAGAACTTCTTAGAGGTAAGTGATCATGAATCTCCGAGAATTTGTCATCATAAAACTGTCACCACGTACTCACCTCATGCTCACGCTCTAGGAAACTGCAACCGCCAAGTGATGGCCCCAGACAACTTAAACAAAAGTACACGACTAAACAACCTAGTTGTTCAATCTACAAGTATACATTTGCGTCCCATGTCACACACGAAAAACAGACTGTAATGCGAAATCCTCATGTCTGTGTCTAATTCTCATCAATGCCTTAACAGACAATATGAAAACTCAAATTCATACATTGGTAACCATGACCAATATCTTTCTAAGGAACGAAGAATGTTATTTCGCTCTCTATAAATTCCTTGATCGCTTTCGTTTTGAGGAAAGGTTCAGAGAGCTCCTGAATGTGCAGACCCAAATATATCCTGTGTTAATCATCCCTGTGAAAATGTTGTTTTACATTATGACTTCAATTTCCGATCCGAAATGCTTCCTCCGTTTCCAGTGAAAACTTGATGGGATCTAACAAGTTACGGGCAACACAATGCATAGTAAGGAAACTTCTCTTACTCACTCCGTAACACTTAGACGAAGGGTGTGCAAGTGCTTACAGAATCTGGATGAATTCTGTAGCCATCTATCTCACCGGCAGTTTATCTATGCGGTGGTATGTATTATTATTATTTATTATTGTATCCTTTAATTCCTACAGGAACATAGGGCTTCAGCCGTGCGTCTCCATTGCGTTCTGTTCTCTGCTAGAGTCTTCACCTGGTATGTCATTCCTCAAAATTACTAGCCCACAGCATTCGTCACTCAACAGTGGATACTGACCATCAATTTTTAAGTCGACTCGCTTAGCTGAAGGCCCACCGTCAGGCATCCACGCCACTTGGCAGGCTGTCGTGTTATGTTCTGCTATTCGTCCGTGATCACTATCAAGTTTAGCAACCCCCTCGCACTTCGGTTTGGGTCCCAAAATATACTTCGTATCCTGGACGATCAATTCGGTGTTTTGATTTTCCCTGAGTCTACACGGAACAAATACTATAAGATCTTACAATAGTATAAGTCAAACTCTCTGTGAACGTCAACATGCCCTCACCCCCTGAAAACACTACTTCGTGGTTTCCTCCATCGTACAACATGATACACGTTGATAGCTTTCCAATAGGTCAACAGACGCTGAGCTAAATGTTGACATTATTGGCATTATTATCCTAATAAATATATATGTGCATATACACAGGTTGTTGCAGAGTGCCAGGGAGTTAAATGTTTTTAAGAAGTATAAAGTATGTGAATGTACACTACTTGAGAAAACTAGGTCACAGTCTACTGATCACAGTGATTAAATAGTCGGGCGATCAGTATTATAGGTAATAAAATGATCTTAACGAAAACAGTCGGTCAGAAGGACTTATCATTCTAAATCTTTATGACCGCTCTTCATAGTTACACGCAACTCACTTATTGAGAATTATAAAAGAAAAGAAACTTAGTAAGGTGGTGGAACATTGTCGTATAGATAATGGAATTGAGATTGATTTAACCGCCTTTATGAAAGACTGGACTGTCCATGTGGTACTGTTTTACCAAAAGTTGCTCTCTTGGATGAACCAGAGTGCACATGATGATTTTTCTTTCTAGACTCCGTTAGAACCTTTTGTGCTGCTCACAAAATCTAATTTCAGAAGGTAGTTGGTTCCGGAGAGTTTAACCTTCATTGATTAAAAGTTAGCCTCAATGGTTTCTCTGTGGCTAGCGACCTTGAGGAGGTAGTCGTGGCTGTGTGATTCACGTGATTTATCATTGGCCCACTTGATGGATAAGTTACGGTGAAGACTATGGTCACAGGGCTAATGAAACTTTTCCAGGTATTGTGAGCTGTGATTGTAAATAACCTCATAAAATTATTAGCATACAGTTATCATCATTCAACGTCAGGTGCTGACATTCACTATCTAAGGCAGTTGATCAAGTTGAGGGTGCCTAATCTTGTTTCCTTCGGTTGTTGGTGGACGATTAAATAGTCAACATACAAGTGACTTACATCCTCTTTGAATCGCTATTATTATATGTGCATATATTCACCACAGCTACACTCTTCAATCCAATGAAAACTAGTTCTTTAACAAAGATTTCGATTAATTGGTTCGATTAATAGGTCGTTCCACTGAACTATGAGCGTAGTATCTATTTAATGCAGTTGCCAGTGGTCACTCAAAAATTAACTATACTGCGGATGAAAAACCAGTATTGAATTTATCATTTGCACAATAAGTAATTCTCACAAGAAGTAACCGCTGTTTATGAACGTGAACGGAGTCAGCTGTTTACGCGCTCTTTGCATCCAAAGTCATGTAGTTCATGGGTATGTTGGAAACAAAAGTGCTGTTTTACCACTACAAGTGAGTTTTTAAATATTATGCTAATGTTTTAAAGCTCTTAGGTGTAGAAGTTGACTTTATCAACTCGGTTCAGTTATCGAACCACACAGGTGGGTTCATTTTCCCTAATGTGATGATACAATTATATTGTAAATAGGGTACGAAAATGTCAGGGGCCAAGTTTTAGATGCTAATGATTTAAAAGAATTGTATCTGGGATTAAAAGCAAATGGTCTTCACAGATATACTCATGTCCTCACAGGTATGAAAATTATATTCACTTATAACTTTCCAGGATACGTTGGCTCACCGAGTTTTTTAGAAGGCGTAGCATACATTGTATCTGATTTAAAAAACGAAAACCCAGGCTTAAAGTTTTGTAAGTGAGAACATTTTTGGTAATGTTTGTTCATTAGATTGTGATCCTGTTCTAGGTGATCGGGGAAAACTTGTGAGTTTTTCTTACTGGTCATTTTAATTAAACATTTCTGGAATCATTAAGCTCTTTTTTAAAATTTTTACACTGGAGAAGTGGATTACAGATTGTGGCTATGCATCACTGCAGTAATGTACAGAAATGTCAAGTAAAGTGACGTGTTCAAGTCATACTTGCATTTCCTTTAAAGTCAGTGAGGTAACATGTTTTAGGCTTGTAATTTACTCTCATTATTCAGGCAGAATTCACACGTGATAATAACTGATAGTCTCTTAGGTTCTATGTTTTTGATAATTCTGGTATTCTCTACCACCTTTACAAAATTTAAAATCGACAGGTTTGAAAGGTTTTTACTGAGTGCCTGCTATGACGACTTTTGTCTCTGTGTATTATTTATTAAAACTCCCTTCAACTTTTTTAGAATTCTCACCAAATATGACAATGTAAGCCTGATTGGCTTTTTATTACAGGTTATAAGTTCACTTTAAAAGACTTTGCTATATTTACATATGAGATCATACATAAAATCTGTAACCAAGTAGTCGATGAGCTTTTCATTATCGATCTGGGTAGTGATTTCAGCACTGTCTATCCTGCTGAACCACACTGAGAAGCACCAGTAGGTCAATCATGTTCATCTGCTAGAAACTAACTCTAGTAATGAGAATAAACAAGCCCTTATTTGGCAGTAGTGTAATTAGGAAATTTCAGTGGGTAGGATAGGCATTTCTTTCCACAGTTACTTGATTTCTGTTTACTTTTTGTACTTAGTCTCTTCCTAATTACTCATCCAATGCTCTTTAATACCCCATAGTATGTTTCACCGGAGCTCATTGACATTTATCGGGAAAGAATACTTCCATTGGCAGATGTTCTTTTACCTAATCAATTTGAAGCAGAGTAAGTTTTTGATCTACTTTGTTTTCCGTGCGTAATAACTGATTGGTTATAGTTAATCGCCCCAAAATGAAGTCCTCTCATGATGTGTTTAAGTCTATAAAGTTATTTGCAGTGTATTAAAACGAAGAAAATTGCTAATTACCTATTATATATACTTAGCCATTTAGGTATGGCTAAGCACCAGTAACTACCAATGGAGTGCGACCGCATCACTAACCTTAAAAGACTCACTGAGCAAGTTAGTGAAACCTGGAAAATAATGTTATCATCAATAAAATATGCTCATAGTAGTGTTATGTTATTAAATGGGATATCTAGGTATTTTCAGCTTGGGTTTGGAAAAGATTAAGTTACGCTTTAATCCAAGGGCAAGTTAGGGTTAGGTTAACCTAATAAAAGCGATATTAGGGTTCGTTCGAGTTAGATTACAGTTAGTTTAGGGATATTTTCACGTTAGGGTTAGGTTCAAGAATGATTAGGGTTTTTGTTAAGGTTAGAAGACCTAAATAATTACATGCATAGAATGTGGTTGAATTACTCTGTTGATATAAGAATAGAACTTGTGCACTGTGGTAGAGTATAATTCCATTGCCGTTAAAATTTATTTTGGTAAAGTCTCGCAGTGTTATACAGTAATATTTACTGGTGACGTCTCAAACTCAATTTATTGCTCAGTGAATATTACTGAGACTTTATCAAAATAAATTTTACCCACTATGGAGATGTTTTTATCTTATGTGAAAGGAAGGTATCCTCTATAACACTTTCCTACAGTTTTTACGCATTATTTCATAAATATATGTATTCCATACACAAAATTACCTCCTTGACGTGATTGGTGCGTTCGGGGTCATTCACTGATTGGTAGTTAGTGGTGCTTAAAGTTTAACTTTGCCACCTAAATATACCCATACATTTTTACTACCAAGTATGCGTCAATATAATATGGATAAACGACCTGGTACGACTGAGGGTGAGAAAACTGCAGTCTTCCTCTCGAAATGCTCTCATGTTGCCATGCGCTTATAGTTTCCACCAGATAAGTTCCATACACTGCATTCACGTGGCGGCCAGGTACGTTTCTCACAAAAGTGAAAGCGATAATTCGGTCATTATAGTATATTGAGAATCAAAGTACAAATGCACGTTTATCTAAGCATTACATTATGCACTTCATTGTGACTTGAGGTAACGTCATAAGTGAAGCTTCTGCATTACTTCTCAAGGAAGTGCTTTATATATCTATGCGCAAGTGAGTGCAGCGTTACCATTGGTGTCAAATGCTGGCTGAAAATAACTCAAATAATGCAAAAATTTATATTTTACATCACATCTCGGCGTCGGTGGTTTACCGGTAGATTTCTCACCAACCACATACACAATGTCTAGGGCTCAATTCCCGGCCGACGCAGTCCTGAACCTCGCTTGGCTGATATTAAGCTTGGTAAAGAGGGAAGGTTGGGTGTGAGGTTAGCAACTCTCTAAGTTGTGAAGAAAAACACCACTGCTACTGAAACTTCACGCTTGAAGCTCTATGTTTCACTGGGAACTCAAAGAAATGAGAAAAAGTAGTCCAGCGTCATTATGCGTCTGCATAGTAAAAGTGTTATCGAACTGTTGACTGCTAACCAGACAATAACACCAGTCGTCGAATATTAAACTTGACTCTCATATACTGAGACTTGCACATGTTCGAGAATAGTAACTTACATTATCTTAATTACCATATATACACTCCTAAATTTCTAAATACTTGAGGTAAACTGGAGACTTTCAATATTACAGAGTGCCCCAAACCCTTACCAACCTTATTCAATGGTTATATAATGATGACATTTACTAAACTATCCACAGTAGGAAAGCTCAGTGAAGACACGAGTAAGACAAGGTTGCCAACAATGACTGGATCACTTGGCGGACCGTGGGGAACGAGATGACAGGGATATACTGATCCGAGGAAGAGACTTTAGGAGGTCTGGACTTCGCTGAAGATTTATATCTAATGTCACTTAAACTCAGAGATCTGCAAGCGAAGAACAACGGGGCGGCAGAAGAAGCAGGCAAAAATGACAGGACTTCAAGTTAACTCAGAGACGATGAAGATGATTAAGCTACCTAATCAGCAACAACGACAACAGGCATCAATCGCCATAATTTAAAAGAAATTTTAAGGAAATCATCTCTTTCACTTATCTAGTTGGGTGGCACAGATGTGTATATGAAAGGCACAATCAGAAAAGTGTAAAAGAGACCTTCATTAATCTGACATCAGTTTGGAAATCTGCTGCACTCAGCTTAAAGAACAATATTCCGATTTTGTCAACTTTAACGTTGAGTCATTTGTATGTATGGTCCAGAGACTTGGCGCGTTATCGAGACGCTCCCAACAGGTGACTGTAGACTTTGATCAACACATGTCTTCCCTTTATACTGAAGATCAGATGGCCGATCAGAAAGGATCGGCAACAAGGAACTCTGTCAGACGACGAACCAACCAATGTGTCGGGAAAATGCAGGTGGGTCAAGTACACTCTGAGGAGAGTGTTGAATGATACTGCGCGTCAGTCAAACCCTCGAATGAAACCCAAATGAGAAACGGTAAGTCTGGTGTCACTTTGAGGGTGACATGGAGAGGAGATCGTTGGAGGAGGAGGAGGAGGAGGAATAGAAGATGAGAGCTTATGATCATTCATTGAGTCACCTAAAATGTACTGTAGAGAACAGGCTGAAGTGAAGATGTGCTGTAGAAGCCTTATGTTCCACCCGTAATCTAAGGGGATAATAATAATGTGGAGTTCTAAATATAAGCATATCCTACTATATCCACGAATAAGTGGAATTAATTAAATCTCATGTTCTCTTTTTCACTTTTTCTTTTCTCTCAAAAGGTTACTCAGTGGTATGCAAATTACAGATGAAGAATCAGCGCTAAATTGTATTACACATTTACACAAGCAGTATAATATTCCTACTGTAATTATATCGAGTACAAATTTGACAAACTTCCCTCAAGTAATGTATGGTTATGGAAGTCGTTTCAAAGGTGCAATCAACACTCCAAATAACAATAATACTAATAATAATCTATCCGATCAAACAAACGGTTCACATGTATGCATCAATCAAGGTAACTGTGATATTAGCTCACTTTTCTAAAGTGAGACATGAATTTCTTTGTCATAATAAGGTTAAACGTTTTTTAAATAGGTGTGTTCAAATCACGTCCGATGGTATAATGGTTTGAGAAATAAATCGTAACTTAGACATTGTGTGAACAATCTTCATTATTTTGGTAATCTGTATGTTGGCTTTTACTTTTAATGTTTTACTCCTTTATGTTAATGATAGTTGCAAACTGGAAAATTTTAGTATAATTATTATTATTCCTTTGGATTGTGAGTGGAACATGGGGCTTCAGTAGCACGTCTGCATTTCACTCTGCTTCCTACAATCCTTTGTTTGGCTGGCTCAACGATTGCTGATGAGCTATCATTTCCACCTCCGGACATAATCTCCTTCCTACCACCCTCGAAGTGACGTTCAATTCACTGTTTTCTATCAGGGTTCCACTCGAGAGTTTCTCTAGCACTAGTTCATCATCCACTAGCAATATTTAAGGGCTTCCAGCTTCTGGTAATATTCGCGATACCATATTTTACCACAACAATTCATTGTCAGTAGTGCAAAACTGTTTTCACCTGTGTGATTTGGTGACGGATCCTAGAGATCATGATTTCGGAAAATCCCCACGAAGTATCAGTACTTTACGACCAGGTGATTAGAATTAGGTTTCTGTGTAATTTTGAAGAAGAATTATAACGTGTGGATGAATTATTCTGGGAATAGTAGATCTGTGGATGACCACTGGTCTAGGTTCTTTAGCTGTGAACCACTAGGTCGTAAGTTGGAATCCCACTTCCGCTGTCGACGTTTAAACAGCCAGGTAGAATCATTAGTTCTCATAGAGTATGTATGGTTCTTTGTCAACTGTTAGCAAACCAATCGGTTGCTGAGTATGAGTAGTAGTAGCATGCATATGTAAAGTGTGAACTCGACTTTTGTCGTTCCTGTGCGTTCCTAGTGGAAGAACATAGGACTTCAAGTTTTAGCCTTGAAGTTCCAGTCTCAGTAGTTTGGTGTCTTTTTACGGAGTGGGGGTTTACTAACCTCATACTAACCCAGCTTTTCGCCAGTGTCAAGCTTTCATACGGTTAAGTGAGGTAAAGGTGTGTGCCGGTCAGGAGTCGAACTATGGTTGGGGAGCATTCTATCACTGATCCACCGATGCAAAATGTAAAGTAAAATATCGCTAAATGCTACTAACAAAATAGTATCACCACTGATGATGAAATTAAACTTTAGGCACCCAATAGGCACGAACGCACCAATAAAATTAGAACTCTCAGTCAGAAGAAGGTATTGAGATGTTAGGGGAAGATTAATGTTAGGTTTAGCCTAGGAGCAGCTTGAGGTTAGGCTAACCTAATTAGGAAGATGCTAAGGCTAATCAGCACCGGTGGTTCAGCGATAGATCGCATGCCAACCACGCCGATCCCCGGCCCATGCACTGCCAAGTCTCGCTTAGTCCGGAGGCAAGCCCAGTAAAATGAGAAGGTTGGGTGCGAAGCTAGAAACCCCACCTCGCAGGAATAAAATGACACTACTGTTACTGAAATTTAAAAACTCAAGCTTAAAGCTGTATGTTCCACTTGGAACACAAAGGAATAAACAGAGAATTTGAGCTAGTCAGGGATAGATTAGGGTTAGCTTAGTTCCATTGTGGGTAAATCTTGTTTTGATTAAGTCTCACAGTGTTATACAGTAATGTTTACTGATGACGTTTCGAGCACAATTTATTGCTCATAATCATATCAAGGTAATCACACAACTTTCTAAATTCATTTATATAGTTCCGTTGTTTTTCACTTGATTTGATTGGTGGTAATATTTTCCGTATTTCGGGTATGAGTGATGAATCATTCCTATTGCATGTGTTGGGTGTAGATTCGATGAACAAGGATTCAGTAATCAACCTCTCTCGCTCTCCACCTACCTGGATTACTTTATAGAATTTTAACCCTCTCCCACCCTATTGTGTGGTTGTGTGCTAATGCATGCATTGCAATTGCCGAGCTTTTTTCTAAATTACTTATCTTCTCTGGGTCAGCCATTCTTACCTTAGCTAAATTCTTATGTTCTGGCAATCTGACTACCTCTGACCTACTAGTTTGACCTATGTAGTTGACCTCATAGTCATTGCAGGGTATTTTGTAAATCATATTATTTTGTCTAATTGGGTCCACTGGGTCCTTTAACCTACAGAGCTTGTCCTTGCCTGAGTGAGTTTGTAGGTTTAAATGCCACCCTAATTCCTGCTTTATTTAGAATCCTACGTAGGGTCTCAAATGTCCCCTCTTTATATGGTATAACTGTAGATGACTTATATTCTCTCTTATTTGTATTATTATTACTAGTTTCACAATTCTTTTTCTTTTGACCTTTACTGATCTTCCTAATGAATTTTATAGGATAGTTATTTAACACCAACGCCTCTTCTATCTGTTTCATTTCATCATTTAGGTCTATTTTTGTGCTATTTAGTGCCATTGCTCGGTTTGTTAAACACTTAACTAAGCCTGCCTTAATAGTTAAAATTATGAGATGAATTAAAGTCTAAATATCTATTAGAATGCGTTGGTTTTCTATAAACACTAGTGTGTAGTTTGCCTTCTTCTATTCGTTTTATTTTACAATCTAACATAGCCGATTCTCCTTGTTCATTTTCCGATTCAAATGTGAATTTTATTCCCTCCACTAGTGAGTTTATGTGTTTCAAGAAGCTAGAGATATGTTCTGTTTTTAACACTGTGAAAGTGTCATCCACATATCTCCACCATGATTTTGGAGTAGGATTAAATGTATTAAGAGCCATATTTTCCCAGCTATCCATAAATATATCTGCTACGATAGGGGATAATTGTGATCCCATTGCTACATCTTCAGTTTGTCTATATATTTTGCCTTGGAATTTAAATATAGTAGATGTGAGGCACAACTGAAAATAATTTCTTCAATAGGTAGTTTCGTCCTATAAGTGAGTTCAGGGTCTGCAGTTAATTCTTTTTTAACTGCTTCTAAGGCCATATTGATTGGTATGTTAGTATAAAGATTGGTTATATCAAAACTAACCATTGTTTCATCATTCCCTAGTTGAATGTCATTTAGTTTATGAGCAATTGATTATGATTATGAGCAATAAATTGTGCTCGAAACGTCATCAGTAAACATTACTGTATAACACTGTAAGACTTAATCAAAACAAAAATTTACCCATAATGGAATTATACTCTACCACAGTGCACAAGTTTTATTTTTATATCAAGGGTTAGCTTAGGTCTAGATTAGGTTTGTGGGTTAGATTAAGGATAGATTTGGATTAGGTTAAGGTACTATTGTGAATAAGGTTGATTAAAAGAACCAAATCTGCTTTTTAGTGCAATTACTCTTTACAATGACATTGGTGCGTCCGTGCCTAAAGTTAAAATCCACTCAACTGATTAGACAGACGGTAAGTTAGCTTAGGATAGAAGTTCAAGTTAGCATATTTCAAAATATTATACATGAAAAAAAGTAAGCAAACAGGAAGAGACTGATCCCTCAATAGATAAACATAACTGTGTAGGTCCTGGGTTCGAACCCCATTGGGTACGTAATGATGAAGAGTCCCAAACTAGGACGAAACAACAGTGCAGTGTTCTCATTTTTTCCAGTGGTTCTCTAACGGATATCAGCTCACGATGAAATCCTGTAACCAATCAATCGAAATCCCTGGAAACCAATACTTGAATTAAATTAAAATTGGTTAAAGCGCTTCGAAATTCAAGTGACAAAAATGATTTCATGAATAACTCCTTGAGGTTTAAAATGATAGGAGTGCTGATTTCAAGTCTTATTGGGGGCGCTATCACTCACTAAGTGGGGCAGGTACATCTAACTGATGAGTCGCAAATAGGACGAAATGCGTATCCTATGGATTCCACTACTTACCCACTATTAATCCAAATAATATACAGGTGTGTGTCGCAAAGAATATTTAACCATCGATTCTTAGTATCTTGAGAGTTACTCTCCCTTATTATTATTGTTGTTATTATTATTATCCCCTCGGGTTCCTAGTGGAACATACACGGCCTCATCAGCATATCTTCATTTCATCCTGTTTTCTTCTGTCCCCCTTATATCTGGCTCCATGATTCCCCATAAGCATTCATCTCTCCCTCACATGAAACTCTTCCTTATATGAGTAGTTCGAATCGATATCCTGTTTCGATGTGACCACTTCTGTCCAATCTAATCATACTTCAACAAATAATAATAATAGTCACTTTATTCCAAACAATAATAATTATTTTACAGAATGGAATTTTCGGCATTCTTATACATATTACAACAATTTAGCTCCTTTCATTAATATGTACATACATAAAATTTAAAATAGTAATAATAATATTATTATTATCAATAATGAAACCAGCACTATAAACAGAATGTTGGTGGAAACATAATGAAGTATAAGTAGAGATAGTATCATAGATAATACGTGTGATAATAGTAATAATAATAACCTTTACTTATAATTTGCAGTTCAGATTACTGATTTAAAAAGTTTATAAGTTCTTTTCTGACATGTGACTTTCTCTTCACACACAACTACCCGTGCTAGTAGGTATACGAGCATAAATGCTTCTTATGAAGTTTCTTCTGGCTTTATCCGAAGTGAGATACAAAACAAAAGTTGAGAACAAGTAGAGAGGATATTCAAGTGTTGGTTTGTAGGGATTTGATTGGCTACAGGATTTTCATCATGAGCTGACATTAGTTAGAGAACCACTGGAAAACCTGGGAGTACTGGATAGCTGTTTCGTCCTAGTCTAGGACTCTTCATCAGTACGCGCCCACCGGAATTCGAACCCAGGACCTTCTGGTTACAAGGCGAGCTCGTATACCATTAAGCCACTGGGACCCGATCCAATGGCCTATGAATTCTAACTTCTGCCAATTCACGACATAGCGCGACCCCTAGCCAATGTCTTCGGCGAGTATTTGTCCTCACACCCAACCTGCTGCACTCTACTGGTCACGACTTCTCACTAGAACCCCAGGTAACTACCTACCTGAATAGGGCAAGTCGCTAGTGAGCATCTCATTGATATTCAAGTGTTGGTTTGTAGGGATTTGATTGGTTACAGGATGTTCAGTATCAGACAAGATAACTTCAGCCGAATGCTAGCAAGAACTGAAGTCACTATTGACAATAATGTCAGTTAGCTGAGTCCATAGCACACAACTGAACCTACTTACAGCCTTTAGTGTTCTACTTAATATGACCTAGTCTTTTTTGAAAAGTCCAGGGGAGAATAAGCGTGAACAATAAAGGAGAAGCGGCAGAATACATAAATGAATAAATTGTAAGAGAAGAGGTTGAGTTATGCTATCAGAAAGTCTCAACTCCATTGTGGATAAAATTTTATTTTGATAAATCACACAGTGTTGTTATACAGTAATGTTTACTGATGACCACGTTTCGAGCACAATTTATTGCCACTCGTAATCATATCAAGTCACTACTCACACAACTTTCTTGCTTCATTTATATACATGAGTAAAAATTGATGATTAGACATTTGAATAAAATCAACATAAGATAAAGTACATTCAGAAATAATACTAATATTAGTGTTATCAATCAAATACAATCAGATGGGAAATAAGATGTTTTTATCGTAAAATAAGTAACTTGTTAGAATGTTTTGATGTACGTGAATTGAAATACATTTTAACATTATTTATTATCCTCCTCTGATTTGACTGGTGGTAATAATATCTGCCATATCTCTGGTATTTGCATTAAGTCATTTCAGTTGCATGTGGTGGGTGTAGACTCGATGAACCAGGATTCGGTAATCAATCACCTCTCTCTCCACCTACCTGTATTACTTTTAAGAATTTTGACTTTGCCCCGCCCACCCTATTGTGTAGTTGTGTTTTAATGCGTGCAGTGCTGAGCTTTCTTCTAAATTACTTATCTTCACCGGTGGGATCAATCATTCTACAATTAGCTAAATTCTTATGTCCTGATAATCTCACTACTCCTTATCTACTGGTTTGACTGACCAATGTAGTTGATTTAACTCACAGTCATTGCAAGGTATTTTGTAAATTATATTATTATTTTTTAATTGGATCCACTGGGTCTTTTAGCCGTATATATATATATATATATATATATATATATATATATATGAAGGGTTAATCATTCATCACTGTCTGTAAGTATGGTATGTGCTTTGCACCGTCTAAGTGCAAAGTATTGTTACCAGATTGGCAGGAGTCTGTACCTGCACTCACTCTTGCGGGTGAACCGCTTGAAGTTGTTGATAAGTTTGTGTATCTGGGTAGTTGTGTAAGTGCTGGCGGAGGGGTGACGGATGAGATTTCCAACCGTATAATGAAGGCTAGGGTGGCATACATCAACTTGAGCCACTTCTGGCGCCGTCGCGATGTTAGCCTGGCTGTCAAAGGTCGGGTATACAATGCTTCGGTGCGGGCTGTCTTGCTCTACACCTGTGAAACCTGGCCTCTCCGAGCTGAGAATGTGACGCGACTCTGCGTGTTCGATCATCGCTGTCTCCGCAGGATTGCTTGCGTTCGATGGCATCATCGCCTGAGTAATTCTGAGGTTCGGCGGTATGTGTTTGAACACAGTGGAGATCATCATTCATTGAGTGTCGTCATCTGGAAACACTAGCTCCGGTGGCTTGGACATGTGCTGCGAATGTCATCCCAGAGGCTTCCGTACACGTCTCTGTTTGCTAGCCCTGGGACGGGATGGAAAAGGTGGAGGGTCAGTCCATGACGTGGCGTCGTGGAATGAAGGATATTTGTGCTAGATTAGCATTGGTGGGTGTGTCACGACTCCCTAGTTGGGGTCCGCGAGATAGCTCGAATCGATGGCTCGAAACGTTATCGGATATGGTCAAGAATCGTAATCAATGGCGAACGTATCGCAATTTCCTTCTTTCTTCCCTTCCCGATGATAGTTAACGAATACTGTTTGAACTTGTTAAGTATGACTGTTTTCCTTCCAGATGAAGTTCTTTATCGGTTTTCTACTTATATTTTTACTTTTAATGTATGTTGTTTTATTATTATTGTGTGGCTCATCTTTCTTGGTGCCATATTGTACCAAGTTTTTTCTGCGTTTAAATAAATAAGTAATCTTTCATTTCTGTGTTGTTGTTTCTTTTTAATGCATAGAATATGACCGTGTCCGATTAAGAATTCCAATAGTGAATTGTCATTTCACTGGTACTGGTGATTTATTTGCTGCTTTAACTTTGGCTCGGCTGGAACCACGAATTGTAAACGAAAATGGTGAGAAAGTGGCTAAATACTCTTTCAAGGTAAATGAAAAAAAAGTTTTCTACCATACATGAATATTGTTGTTTGACATCATTGCCCTATTCTTTTTTATAGCAATTTCTAACTGTAATTACCAGTTTTGAGTAGTGTCAGTTCACGAGTTGTACTCAAAATTCAATAGGTATGACAATTACAGTAGAAGTTCGAGAACGATATTTTTATTCAAGTGTTGGTTTGCTGAGGTCGATTGATTAATTACAGGACTTCACCATCAGCTCATATCGGTTAAAGGACTATTGGAAGACCTGAGAGTACTAGACACAGTTGTTTCGTCCTAGTCTGCTACCGTTCAATAGTACGCACCCACCGCGGGTGCATACTCAGGCGTTTCCAGTTACAAGGCGAGCTCGTGGACCATTCAGCCATTGGGACCCGACCCAAATTATATACACTGGTATTGCACAAAATACCACGTAGAATATCTCCCTGTGTTTCAAAAACTCTCCCTTATTTAAGTGTTGGTTTGCAGGGATTTCATCATGGGCTGACATTGGGTAGGGAACCATTGGAAAACCATCTGGGAGTAACGGGCACAGCAGTTTCATCCCCATAGTTTGGACTCTTCAGAAGTTCGCACTTACATCATGGAGTTCGGACCGACGACCTTCCGGTTACAAGGCGCGCTAGCTCGTAGGCCATTTGGCCTCTGGGTCCCGATCCAATGGCTAGCTCATGCCAATTCACGACATAGGGCGACAGCTAGCGAATGTTTTCGGTGAGTATTTGTCCCCACACCCGACCTGTTGTACCCCGCTGGTCACGACTTCCCACCACAATCCAGATAAATACCTCCCTGTATATGGCCAGTCGCTGGTGAGCATCAGACCAATATTGAGCTGTCGGTCTGCACGGATTTGATTGGTTACAGGATTTATTCATCAGAACATTATCGATATATATATATATATATATATATATATTCTGGGATACTACCCGGATGCTCATACTGAAGCATGTGGTTGTCTTAAGGTGGGTCACCCGTCCCAGCAAGCTTTTGATTCGATGAAGTCTGATCCATAAAGCCGTGGGATGGCATCAGGTGACCAAAACAGTTTCGCTCGCCTTTTGTTCTGTTCGGATTCTGCAACCCGTGTTCACCATAGGTTCTTTGGAATTAGAATTTTCCAGCTCTCCTAGGTGTAGACCTACATGCTTGTCCAGCAATCCAGTTGTAAGCGTCAGACGTTGAGATTCAATGTTTGATTTTTATGAGGTAGGGGGGGGGGACTATGAACGTGCATGGCCACTTTACAGTATTATTTTGAGAGGAAGACCAAAGTCTACTGACACTCCGCCGCACCAGGTCGTTTATGGTGGCTATGAATACGTGAATGTGATTCTTTAGTTATATATATCATATATATTCTTTCTAATACCATACTGATATTTTAAGTTATTATATATATCTGTTACTTTTCTTTCTAGGAGGCATTTCAATGGGTTATTAGCACAATGCAAGCTGTTTTACTCAGAACATTAAAGCTGTCCACTTCTCCTGGTAAGCGTTAGTCACTTTCACATTTCTTTTTTCCTAAAGCTGTTTACCACAAACTAACTTTAATAGCTAAAGAAAATTCCTTTTAGGTTGATGATACTGCGAGATAAATTGGTTCTTCTTGATTATTTGATGAACATTATGTCAAACTTTCATGTCGCTAATAGATACAGAAAAAGACCCGATACTCAGCAGTTAAAGTAATTTTCCCTACTCCAATTTAAACTGGGGGGGGGGGGGTGAATCAGATACAGAAATGGATTTATATGACAGTGAAAGTAACCGTTATAGTATAATCCCAGCTGCGTGGTATCCTGCTGCACCGACACTATGAGAACTGCTACTTTATATCCTAGCTTGGAACTCCTCAAGTGCGATGTGTACTCAAAATATTCAGATTCTACGGCGGACACTTCACCATTCAGCCACTGGGGTTTGGAAATCCAGTGACACACAAATTCCAAATTTTGTCAATTTTCTTTCGATATAGTATCACTGCCATCCGATGTCATTAGTGAGAAATGTCTGACGTTGCATGAGACTTGGTGAAGCCTATCTGTGGCCACAGCCTTTTGTTTTAGATCTTTGGAACTGTCAATTGAAGCCTGGTCAGTAGCGCAGCAGTTTCGATCAGTAAGTTTTTCCGAATTGTTAGATGGAAACAGAGCAATTTCAGGTGTGTATTATTTGTATTCAGTAGAATTTTTCGGTAAATACTAAGCGGGACTGATGGTGGGTTAGTAGTGGGAATCAATGCTTGTTGATGTTATTTGCTTAACTTCATATGGACGAGACTTTCAACCGTATTATGAGAGCTAGGGTGGCGTGTATTAATTTAAGCCACCTCTGGCACCGTCACGACGTTAGCCTGACTATCAAAGGTCGGGTTTACAATGCTTCGGTGCGCGTTGTCTTACTCTACGCCCGCGAAACCTGACCTATACAAGCTGAGGATGTGTGACAACTCTGCGTACCGGATCATCGCTGTCTCCTTAGAGTTGCTTGCACTCGACAGCAGCATCCTGTGAGTAATCCTAAAGTCCGGTGGTGTGCGTTTGGACACAGTGGATATCCCCAATCATCATTGAGTGTCGTCATTTGAAGACACCGTCTTCTGTGGTTTGGACATGGACTACGAATGTCACATCCCAGAGGCTTCCGTACCGGTCTCCTCTGTTCGCTAGCCCTGGGAAGGGATGGAAAAAGTCGAGAGGTGGTCAACACATGACATGGCGTCACCGTGGGATGAGTGATATTTGTGGTTGGTGCGTCACGACTCCTTGGTTGGAGTCCAAGAGATAGCTCGAATCGGTTGCCTAAAACGTTATCGGATATGGCCAAGAATCGCAAACATCTATGGCGAATGTGCTACAATTTCCTCCTTTCTCCCCTTTTTGACAATTAGAGGAATATTGTTCAGTCTTGTTAAATATAACTACCTTTTTCCCTGATGAAGTCCTTTATTTATTCTCTACCTATTTTTTTCTCATATGTTTCTCATATATGACTGAATTCTTTCAGTCAAGTTTCCAGTGTGGTCACTCTGAATCAATGTTAGATGGATGACTGGAGGCGATCAGCAGACCTAGATTTGTCTGTACTGCTTGATGACACTCCTCAGTAAAGTGCACTTGCAGCTTTGAAGGAACTTATGCCCTGTTGAAGATACGATCCCTGGTCACCCATTAGTGTGATTAGAAACGTAACCAATGAGGTATTCGGGCCATGATTAGTCTCCAGTGCCGAATGCAGCACTGGACAACATCAGTTTGCTAGAGACTGGAGATTTGCCTTGTTGACAAGTGCCAAATTGCACAAAACCTTGGTGGCCAAGGCTTCCTGCCGATTTCCTCTAACCATCTCGTATATACCTAACCAACGACAGTGAGCATCAGTCACTATCAACGGGAGAAATCTTAAGTCAGTCACCGTTTTCCCTTATCTTGGCAACGTCGTTTCAGCTACAGATGTCACAGATGAGGATGTCAAAGGTAACATTTCCAACAGGCCCTTGCAGACTTTTACTAACAACTATCTACGCTATACCCTGAAGATCAAATAACCAAGAAAGATTAGCAGCAGGAAACTCTGACATTTGACGAATCAATCACGAAACTATTCACCAACAAATATACAGAAGGAAATGGTGGTGGATTGAGCACGAACTGAGGAGACCATTGAGTAGTGATCCTCAATTAGAACCTGGATAGGAAACGACGAGTTTGACTTTGGTCTGACAGTGACAGGAAGGAGATCGAGTGATGAGGAGATGAGAGCCTATGGGAAATTGTTTGAAGCCTGTAGAGAACAGAGTGAAATGGAGATGTGCTATTGAAGCCCTATTTTCCACTCGGAACCCAATGATAGTAACCTTATATATTACAATTTATTTGAACTTAATGAACAACAATCGTTGACTTGATTACAGGATTTCATTATGAGCTGACATTGGTTAGAAAAACAGTGAAAAACCTGCAGGGAGTACTGGACAGCTGTTTCATCAGCCTAGTTTGTGACTCTTCAGCAGTACGCACCCACCGGGAGTCGAATACAGGACCGTCCAGCTGCAAGTTGAGCTCATAGACCATCAAGCCACTGGGACCTGATCCAATAGCCAGCCCATGAATTCCAAGGTTTACCAATCCCCGACGTTAGCGAGTATTTGTCCTCACACGCGATCTGCTGTTGCCAGTTGGGTACAGCACTCAGGTTTTCCAGTGGTTCTCTAATCGATGTCAGCTCATGATGAAACCCTGTAACCAATCCCTGACTTTATAGATTTGCGCCAATTTGTGATCCAATTATTATTCATTATATTCTTACTTCAACTGGAACACTATTTTTGTAGTATATTTATTGACTACATATTCAGAATGCTTCTTGAACAAAACAGTCAGTGGAGGCCAGAGGTTTTGTCAATTTATCGAGTATCGTTATTTTATTATTTCATTCCTTAACGTTACGAATGCAATATAGGGCTTTCAGCTAGAGCTTTCAAGTTTCGGTAGCAGTGGTTTTATTTTTACGGGGTGTGGGGTCACTTGCGCTCAACCTTCCCCCCTCTTTACCAGGCTTACCACTGGCTTAGCGAAGTTTATAAGTGCGTTGGCGGTTGAGGATCGAACCGCGGACCATTTGCGTAGTTGGCGAGTACTCTACCGCTGAACCATCGACGCAGCATTTACCAAGTATTCTACATTTAACGTCCATACTGATCAGTTGATTTGTCGATGATACGGTAAAAATACTTTGAAAGCAACCCTAATCTCAACCATTTGTAAGTTTCGGGTACTTTTTTACAACGACCATATGAAACCTCTCTCACTGTGTCATACACTCATACCCTTACTAAGTATCGAAATATTTTGCTTACAAATTTAGGCACTACTAAATTCTAATCAACTCATTTTCAAGAGTTAGTTTGTAAGGATATAATTTGTTTGAAGCTTGCCCATGGATTGATATCAGTTAGAGGGAGAAACACTGAAAACTAGTAGGGAGTAATGGGTAGCTGTTTCGTCCTAGTTTGTGCCTCATCGCAGTATGCACCCACTGGGTTTCGCTAGTGGCTGTCTGGTTACAGGACAAAGTTGTCTGGAATTCTAGTGAGAAGTCATGACCAATAGGGTCACGCTAGAACAACGAATTGGTAGAAGTAAGAATTGGTGGGCCAATGGATTCTGTCCCAGTCACTGAATGATCTATGAGTCCACCTTGTAATCTGAATGGTCCTGAGTTCGATCTCTGTTAGGTGAAGTCGCGGGTGTATACTGATAAAGAGTCACATGCAGGGACGAAATGACTGTTCTATACTCCCTCCTAGTTTTTAGTGACTTTCCAACTGAAGCCAATTCGTAATCAATCTTGAAAAAAGCATTCTATGCCAAAACCTCCAACATATAAGTTAAAAACCTTCAATTCACTTGTCCTACAAGTAGTAGAGTCATTCAATTGAATATGTTTGTATAAATCCAGCTCCTGAAACCAGATCTTCCATATTCCTAGCAATGAGATGTACTTGTTGTGAGAAGTCTGATAATCACATCTAATTGTTCAAGCTTTGAAACGAGCGGAACGGGATTCGAACCCGAGGCGCAACCGCCAGGTAAAAACCAAGTGCTTAAGCCAATGAGAGATGCATCCTTCATGAATTGAATATTATTGTCAAATGGTTGAAGGCAATCGACAAGTAGCCTTCAACCTAGGTTTCATGCTTCTTGGCACTCACCAGTCAGTAAGGTGTGTAATTTCAATCTTAAAGAAATTCATGTGCCTTCTGAGATGTGAATTCAGGTCAATCAGTGCTCTGCAGTCTGAATCAAATGAAGGACCAATCCCTTGAAATTAGTTACTTACTACCTAGTGTGTCCAATCAATGTATCAAATACACTCCTACAGGGGGTCAGTTGCGAGGCTGAATAGCTGAGTAGTGGTAACATCTCTGACTGCATCAATGAGTGACTTGGGTTCGAATCTCAGGATTTCAGATACTCCTTGCTGACTGATAAGTGCCAACAAGCATGAGACCTTGGTCGTAGGCTTTCTTCCAACCCACCTAACAAGAATACAAGGGTTTACCGTCACAACATAAAAGGCTAGTTGTCTTTGATCATAGGTGTCTGAGTTCTATCTCCTATGTTAGTAGCATTGAGGTTAGGCATCGGTCGAGTGTTAGGTAAGGAGGGAACATCAATCGACGAGGTTGCGAAGTTACATCGATAGAGACGGTTAGGACATATGTTACGCATGCCTAGCTTAGCCATCGCCTTCATCGACGAGAAATGTTAGCCATGCTAGACATTCGAGGGATCAGGTTGGAAAAGAGTCAGTGGTGGTCAGACCAAAACATGGCTTCATCAGTCAACGAAATCCATAGCAGTTAGTTTAAATCAGTCGCGTGGGGAGGTGTAGACTTCCTGACTGACTGATTGGGGTCTTCGGGATGGTATAAACCAATGAAGGCTGGAGACAATTGGTGATATGGCTCAAAATCGTTGTCAATGACTGACTCAGATGCCTTCACTATTTGTGATTTGTCATATCCAATAAAATCATAGGTGTGAAATACATAAAATAATAATAATAATATGAAATGCAATTAAAACTAAAATGTTTGTGATTATAATCGTAATTAAATGTCAAGTGGCAAAGCAAATTAATGTCATATATAGAATAATTCATAGGATGGATAGAACTTGAAAAAGGTGTGCAATTATAAGATTAGTAGGCAAATCGAAAAAATAAAAACGTTACGTAATATTATGTGAAATTTAATAGCATAGAATTTAATGTTGCATAAAGGAATTGATTTAGAATGACAAGTGGAACAAGTGAAATAATACCGGGGACAATTAAAAGTGAGAGTATTAATAGTAACAATTGATTTAATAAGGAAGAGAATACAAATTGAATAGACAAAAATGAAAAAATGAAAAATTGGTAGAGCTAAAATAAGATTGGGGATTACCATACTTTAGCATGGAGGGATCAAGACCATGAAAGTTGGAGGGGTTGAACGAACTTTTTCTGTACACAAAGATCTGGCTTTTCTGTTTGGATAGCCAAAGATGGCTTCAGCAATACAGATGAGTCGGGTACGTAAGGATTTGGGTAAATTACTCTTTGCCTTGTAGATGACTTTAAAGGCGAAGGCTATAGAGATAGGGTGATCATTATCGACCAGATGTTCAATGATCGCGCTTCTTATTGCTCCACTTCCACCTTTTCGTAACCATGCAGGATAGTGTTCTTGCACCCTCTTGGACAAAACTCGTGTCGAACGACCGATATACCTAGCTCCACACGAGCAGGTGAATTGATAAACACACATAGAGTTGGTCAACAGCGGGATTTTGTCCTTCAGGTTATTGAACAATAATGGTCGACTAGTAAAGGCTATTCTCAGGGATGCAGCAGGGAATGTTCTTTTCAGGGACTGTGATATCCTTCGTTTCATAATATCGGAAGCTAAGTCCCCTTTGAATTCCAAGCTCATGTAAAGTATCTTCTTGGATACGGTTGATAAGCCACGTTTTTTAGGATTTGAATGTATATTCTTACCTATAAAACGTGGTGGGATTCCATTTTCTATATGGATTTTCCTCAAAATGTATAACTCATCTTCCACAGTATCAGGGCTACATATTCGCCGAATACGAGTGGCAAGCGACCGGATCAGGTTTCGTTTTCGACCAATGGGTACCCAGCTGCGATTATAATCACAAACACTTTAGTCTTAATTGCATTTCATATTATTATTATTATTTTATGCATTCACACCTATGATTCAATTCCCTCACCGGATATAACTTCTTAAAATATCCAATAAAACTCTATTCTTCATCCACACTTGTGTTTATTATCTCTACTCTTTTCTCTTGCTTTGTGTACTACAAGAAAGGAGTGTGACAACTGGAACTGCCGCACACCGGGGCAAAGTTCTATGCTGGAACCAGTCAGTCACCATCACGGTGAGTCACCAAGCATGTTGGTCACATTACAAACTTCCTGACGACACACCAAACAAAGTACCAAACGCATAGGATTAGTGTTTACCAACTAGTGTCCAATCAAAGTTTGAATTGCTATTGATTTTATCTACTCTATCCCTTTCTTCATATCTCCACTTTTCTTTTTCTACTTTTTAGAAATGCTGAATATGCCTATAGCTTCTCGACATGAACTCAAATTAGTCCAGAGTATTGAGGATATACGTAATCCGGTATTAGGCGATTATGTTGAAGAGATATGAATCACAGACAATGGGGGGAATAATAAATAAAGCACAGTATAGAAATCTTTCTTACTCTCTCGGTGAATCACTTAGAACAAATTACAACATAAATATGTTCAATTTACTGACTGTTTTCAAATGAGTTCATTTCTTATCAAATAACAGGACAAATATGATTTCATTCCTTTAGACAGAGAGAGAGAGAGACTGTGTGTGTGTGTGTGTGTGTGTGTGTGTGTGTGTGTGTGTGTGTGTGTGTAAATACTGTTTCTGTGACTTAATATATATATATCTCTTTGACATAATATAATCCAAAATTATAAATACACATATATTATGTTTCTCTTGAGTTCATTCCTTATTCTATTCTTACCATTACTGATCGATTTAAATAATTTAATTATTATTATTGTATCCTTTAATTCCTACAGGAACATAGGGCTTCAGCCGTGCGTCTCCATTGCGTTCTGTTCTCTGCTAGAGTCTTCACCTGGCTCCAAGTTTGCCCACACGTTTTCATCTCCTCTTCACATGACCTCCTCCAAGTCACCCTTGCGCTGACGACCAACTCGTCGCTTTCCTTTCGGGTTCCACTCGAGGGCTTGTCTAGTGATGTCACTTGATGGTTTCCTCAGAGTGTGGCCAATCCATCTCCATTTCTTCTTGCTTATTTGTTTCACAATCGGTTCCTGGTTGGTTCGTTCCCAAAGATCCCTGTTGCTGATCTTTTCTGACCAGCCATCTGATCTTGAGTATTGAGCGAAGACAACTGTTAATGAAGGTCTGTAGTTTGTTTGAGATGGTCTTTATGACGCGCCAAGTCTCTGATCCGTATAGTAAGTGGCACTGACTTCACATTGGAGTTGAAAATCCGGATCTTACTTTTGATGCTGAGTGTTGTTGACCTCCACACAAACTTGAGAGTATTGAAAGCTTGTCTTGCTTTTCCGATCCTTGCTTTGATATTCTCGTCAGTTCCGCCGGCCTGTAGTTGAAACGATGCTTCCCAGGTAGGTAAAGGAGGTAGTTTCTTCCAGGCTCCTCCCATTTTTGCTGATTGTTGTCTGTTGTTGTTGCTGTTTCTGGTGTTGGCCAGGAATCTTCATTACCTCTGTTTTATCTATGTTCACCTGAAGTCCTATCTTTGATGCTTCTTCTGCTAACTTGTTGCTTTTCGCTTGCATATCTTCCAGTTTGTGGGAAATCAGACATGTATCATAGGTGAAGTCCAGATCCTCCAAGTTTTTTGTGTGTGTCCATTTTATGCCTGTTTCCACATTGCCCACTGTTTATCGCATTATCCAGTCTGCTGCAATCAAGAAAATCATTGGTGATAGTAGGCAGCCTTGTCTTACTCCTGTCCTCACTTCGAAGGGTTCCGTAAGTTTCCCATTGTGGATTACTTGGCATGCAGCATTGTCGTATAGCTGTTGGATGAGATGTATTATTATTGTCGGTGGCACCCCGTAGTAGCGAAGTAGTTTCCAAATCACCTCTCGATCGACGCTGTCAAAGGCCTTTTCAAAGTCGATGAAGTTGAGATAGAGAGGTGACTGCCACTCTAAGCTTTGCTCAATGATGATCCGTAATGTGGCGATCTGGTCAATGCATGACTTGTTCCTCCTGAATCCAGCCTGTTCCGGTCGAAGTTTTTCATCCAGGGCATGTTTGATTCTCTCCAGGTAGCATATTCGCCTCTGCAAGCTTGACAGAATATCGCTTCATTAATTAACAACTCATAAGGAAAACTGGATTTTCAACTCCAATGTGAAGTCAGTCAGTGCTACTACTTGCTATACGGATCAGAGACTTGGCCAGCGCGTCATAAAGAGCACCTTAAACAAACTACTACAGACCTTCATCATCAACAGCTAGCCGTCTTCGCTCAATACTACTCAAGATCAGATGGTCGGCCAGAAAAGATCAGCAACAGGGATCTCTGGTAGTGAGTGAACCAACCAGGAACCGATTGTGCAACAAATAAGCAAGAAGAAATGGAGGTGGATTGGCCACACTCTGAGGAAACCAGCAAGTGACATCACTAGACAAGCCATTGCTCGAGTGGAACCCGACCGAAAGGGAAGCGGCGAGTTGGTCGTCAGTGCAGGGGTGACTTGGAAGAGGTCATATGAAGAGGAGATGAAAGCATGTGGGCAGGTGAAAACTTTAAAGCAGAGGACCGAACGCAATGGAGACGTGCAGCTGAAGCCCTATGTTCCTCTAGGAATTAAAGGAAATAATAATAATATAAAGAAAACCAGTTTTTTTTTGTTCAGCGAAGAAATATCTCTTGTTCTTTATTAGTGAGTGCAGCAGATTTCTAGACTGACTTCAGAATAATGAAGGTATTTGTCTTGCAATTTTTCTGCTTCTGACTGGCTTTCACATTCTCATCTGTGCTGTGTGCTTGCAGTTGAGACGATTCCACCGAGATAGTTTATAGAGAGGTGAAGCTGCCTCGAATTTCTCCAGTTGGTGGTGATCATTGGTGCTTGTTGTTTGTTGAACATCTTCATCACCGCTGTCTTCTCTTTGTTCACTTGAAGTTGTGTCTTCGTTCCATATTAGTTTGTTTATTAGATGTATCACATAGTGAGTGAAACAGTATTATTTACTGGATGACGTTTCGAACAAAATTTATTGCTGTTCATAATCATATCATCAATTATAATCACACGACTTCGAAACTTGAGTCTTATAGTTTTCTTTGTCCTCTCCTATTTGTCGTCGTTAGGGTAGTAGAATTTTCCAGATATCTGGGACAGGTGTTGAATCATTCCTATTACACGTATTCGCCTCAGTTGTTTCGATAAACAAGGCTTCTGTTATCAATCTCTCCCTCCACCCTGTGACATTAGATTTTAAAACTGTCATCTTATCCCATCCCATTGTATTGTATGGTTGTGTGTAATTGCATATAGTGAGTGGTATAGCTGAACTATTCTCTAGATTTCTTATCTTATTCGGGTCAACTAATCTAGATTTTGCTGCTAGGTTTTTGTGCTCTACTTGTCTGACTGACCCCGTTCTACTAGTTTGACCTATGTATTTGACCTGACAATCATTGCAGACATGGTATTAGATAAACTAAATTTTTTTGTTTTAAAGGCTCCACAGGATTGATCCTTTAACCGACAAAGCTTGTTTCTAATTGAGTTTGTGGTTGGTTTGAATGCCAGCCACTTTTATTCCTGCCTGCCTTGTTAAGAATTCTGCGTAAGGTTTCCGAGGTTCCTTCCTTGTATGGAATTACTACTGATGATTTAGATTCCTTATTGTGGGTGTTGTCTTGCGCATATTTGACATGCATGTCGTCATTAATATTACTATTATTATCATTATTTATTTTATTTTTACGTTTCCTTACGTATTTCCTGACTAATTTGTCAGGGTAATTATTAAGTTTCAAGGCATCTCTTATATGTCTCACCTCCTGTCTTAGATTTTCCTTGGTACTACTTAGCTTTTGTGCTCTGTCACTTAAACATTTCACCAATCCTATTTTTACTGACATAGGATGGGATGATCGGAAATCCAAATATCTGTTTCAATGTGTGGGTTTCCTGCTGTAAAAACTAGTGTTTAACTTCCCATCTTCTTTTCTTTTTACGCTGCAATCTAACATTGGAAGCTCCCCTTCCTGACTTTCCAATTCATAAGCGAATTGAATTGCCTCCACCGGTGTTCTAAGTACAGTGACTGTGCCATCTACATACCTCCACCATACCTTTGGGGTGCGGGTGAACGTTTCAATCGCTGTGTTTTCCCACCTATCCATGAATATATCTGCCACAACCGGATATATTGGTGATCAAATGACAACTCCCTCAGTTTGTTTGTATATTTTCCCTTGGAATCACCAATGCATATTTAAAGTCGTGAAATATACCCATTAGTTCATAAAGAAGAATAAAGAATAAAGATAATTAAAATGATGTACTAAGGTGGTGGCTGTAGAGTTGAAGTGGATGAATTACAAAACTTTTAAAAATTATTAAATAAGTGAACTGGTATAAAGATTTTGAAAAATTGTAGGTCAAGTGTTGTCTAGAAAAATTAACAGTACGATAATGATAACAATAAAGACGGCGAAGATGAAGTGAATTGTGGAATGAATTCAAGTGGTAAAATAAAAATGAAATAAAAGAACATCACTATGACCAAGGTAAGGAAAGGGGTTTGACAAAACGTTTTTGAATACATAATTTAGGTTTCTGTCCATGTATATCTAAAACTTGGACTATGCATATGTGGAGAAAACGTAAGCTTTCGGAGTGATTGGATTTGGTCATGTACATGTTTTTAAAGGATAAATCACGTGTGTGTGTGTGTGTGTGTGTGGGCTGAATGACCAGACTCTAGAAGGTGTTCACAGATTAAAGATTTTGCCGTCCTTTTCTCACCTTTCATTAACCAAACCGGATAGTGTGCAGCTACGCGGATACAGAGATTACGCTTACAACGTCCAATGTAATCACCTCCACAGGAGCATGTGAATGAGTATATGCACATAGATGTAGGTAGACATGATGACAAGGAAATCTCACACAGGAGGTATTCTTGCATATGAGAACGCTTTCCAATTAATTCTCATAGAACCATTAATGGATTAAGAGAATTTCTAATCTAACTTATATTGTAGTTCTTGAATTGACTTGAAAGAAGATAACTGCATTCATATCAACATATTTAAATTACCAAGTATTAGTTTTGTAGGGATTTTTTTGTTTGTTTTGGATGGAGGATTTCATCATGAGCTGACATCAGCTAAAGAACCATTGGAAAACCTGCAATAGAATACTGATGAAGAGTCCTGAACTAGGACGAAACGGCTGTCCAGTACTCCCAGGTTTTCTAATGGTTCTCTAACTGATATCAGCTGCTCATGATGAAATCCTCCATCCAATGTTTAAATTAGTTTGGATTTCCATTTGATTGATCATGCTGGATCAAAATATTCGGTCTCTGTTGATATGTGAACTCTTTCGAAAGGGATCCTTTGAGGATGTTTTCATATTATCATCATATTACCTGGTTCACATAGTGACTAACTAGCAGGGGATTTTATCGGACGCGTTTCTTCCGACTTGGGAGCCGTCCCGTTTGGTGTTTGAAACAATGCTCCTCATTGGTTATAGTATCAATCACCAAAACAGATTTTGGTGTTTTGGTCTGAACTCTGGATACCAGTCTCCACGTTCTACTGTACAGCTAAACAAAACGCTCCT